CACTGAAATTATAAAGTTGTTTTGCTAACAGTAGTAATATTTGGGTTACTCTTTCCATCCATTTATATTGAAATACGGAAAATATGATGTGGCACCTTGACACAAGATTAGTAAATGCCACTTTTCTGTACTTAATCTGTGCTTATGCTTAGAAAACCATAAGGAAAAAATACTGTCTTCAAAGAAAGTGAGGAACTCATAAGAAATTCTGGTTGAACCAAAATAGAAAAGGGCCAACAAAAGAGGTTAATCACAGAGTTGAAACACTGTAATCAAAACATCTACTTCACAATTACAAGTTACTTGGACACTCCTCAAATATTAGCGACACAGACTGTTATTCTATTGCAGTTGGTTTCTCAAATGATAAATAGTTTTGGATAACCTATAAAGGGGGCAAAATTGTAAAAGAGAATTCTGGTATCTGAAACGCTTAAGATACCAGGACTCAAACTTTCATAAAGTTCTTTTTATATATATATAATGCTGTAAATTGTATGTAACACACGCAAAATATAGAGGATGCACATATCTGCAAAGCTCCAGCTAACACTCATCCACACACAAACAGGTTAATAAGAAAGGCATAACCACAGATAATAAAAACACCACAAAATCTGACTGGTTAGTGCAGCACCAACACCGGGAGTGCAAAGTTATGGGATAAGTACTCACAGTGGGGCAGCTGCAACAGCCTCATGGAACTCAGTGATGACCTCATTAGCTTTCTGCACCCTGGTCATTCCCGGCAGCAGCACAACACAGACCCAACAAAATCAACGAAAAAAAGGTGTTCTAAAAATAGCTAACACAGTGCAGGTACTATTCTATAAGAAGAGACAAATACAGGAAGGAAGGAAATGTGGAAGGGAAGGAACAAAATATGAGTGGCAAAAATAAGAAAGGAAGCCAAGAGAGAAGAGAGAGATAGATGAGAAGAGAAAGAAGAGGGGTTTGGAGGATAGGAAAAGATAGGAGAGGAGAGGAGGGAGGAGAAATGAGAAATAGGATTTAATAACGAGAGAATAGGAGTAGAGAGAGGAGAGAAGAGAAAGGAGATGCAATCAGACAATAGGATATGAAAGCATAGGAAATGTTAGGAAAGGATAGGAAAGAAAAGGAGATTGGAGAACAGGACAGGATAGGATAAACTCAGATAGAGGAAAGGAGGAGGAGGAGGAGAGAACAACAGAAGTGAAAGAAAATATAAGAAAAAGAAAGGTATAAGGGAAAGGATACTATTAGAAGAGGAAAAATGAGAAAGAAGAAAGCAAAAAGGAACTTAAGAAACAGAATGGAAGAGGCCAACAGTAGACTTCCTGAATTTGCCTTCTTCATAGACATACGTGATGGTGAAAGCAATAAAATACAAACAGTGACAAGTCAACAAAAAATTCTCAACTTTTTTTAAAACTCTCCAATATGTACAAGCAAAGAATGGCAGTCTAGCATATTTCTGAATAACTGAAGCAGCAAAATGGTTTTCTAAAGACACACAAATGCTACTTAGACTGAAATGTCAGCCTTTGAATATGAGGAATGAGTGTGCTGAGAATCTTTTGCTCTACACATGCCAAGAAGCAAACCATAATTCAAAGAAACAATGCAAAAAGAGATAATAATTACAAAAAAATAATAAAATAATATTTAAAATAACCAAAAAATTTAAGGAACACAAACATTTATTTAAATCAATAAAGACAACCAATTTACTGAATGCTGCATCAAACAACACCAAAAATAATAACAATAATGATGATGATGATAATAATAATAATAATAATAATAACAATGAAAATATCAATAATGATAATTATAATAATAATGACAACTAATCCAGAAATATAGTACATAAGAAACTAAGGCATCTACACAACTGTTAAAACCTCAAGCTTAGCCATTATGAAAAATACATTCCTAATATCTTAATTCTCCTACAGATCTAGGCTTATACTCACACAGGTAAACTTTGGACATATTGAGTGCTAAAACAAAAGAAAATATTGTTATTCAAACCCACGAAACATACTGCATGATAATTTTCTGATATTTGCCATACATTTAGTAAGTAAGTGAATGTGCATGCAAAACTAATTTCTTAAAATCTCTCTTAACAAGTTCAAGCAAGAAGTTTCTCTTTTTAAATCTCTATCAACATGTGTCTGAGTGATCATCATTCAAGCACATGAAAATTTCTGAACACAGATAAGATTCATAGAGAAATTATACAACAATAAATTTAAAGCTATGGCAGCAGAACTATTATTCAACATACACTTGCTTAATATAGAGATGAACTTAAACTTAGGCAGACTATTAATCAACATACTAATTAATGTGGTTAATATCATAGAAAATCCCTACTCTTTAAATTCCCTCCCAATTCATGCTTTTTAGATCAAGGCCAGTTCTCTCTCTCATGTCATACATCACTACTTAATACACACACATTATTATCTGACAATAAAACCACTTTTTGACGAACAAAAATATATTTTCA